TCCAAGTCTCAGCTGCGGACCAGGATTTCCGGGTTTAGTCAAGACATCACAGATTAAGTCCCCAGCATGCACAGTGTAAGCCTGTAATACGAGCTGGGCACGAGCTTTGAGGTGGCAATACAAACTTGCCTGAAAGTGCCACCTGCGTGCTTGCAGCCGGTCTGGGTTCAATTGGTCCCGAAGTTTTCGTGTTGTGCGTTTTCCTGGCTATCCGCCAAGACCGCTGTTAAATGAGTGTTTCTGGAAATCGGGGGCGGTGTTGGTTTCATGTGGGTTTCCTGTTGGTTTCCCGCATGGTGTAACGCTTTGCAGAAAATGCATTGGATACTGGGGTGGACACTCCCGCTTTGCTTGAGCCTTGCGACACTCTGGACTTACGACATCCGAGAGACTCCGGCCTACATGGTCTTGTGCATCGAAGGCACGCCCATTGGTCGTAAGCAAGCGGCGGTGTTGTTTCTGCAGCAATCTGCCGCGTGTGGGGTTACGAACCTTGCTTCTTGCAATTTGCACCAACCCCTCAGTCTCGTTGGGATAGAAGTTGGTGACCATGCCGACAAAGACGAGCAACAGGACCTGCCGGAACCTCGTGTTGGAGCGTCCGGCAGGCAGGTTTCAGACTGTGATTTCAGAGACTGGTTTCAAGCCTGAATCAGACCCCTCAGGCTCGTGTTGGAATGGAAAGCATCAAGGTCTGAAAATCAGGCAACGGCACATCTGAAGCTTTCTTCCGCCTTAGAAAAGCTCGCGCACACCACGCCACGATGGCTCGGCAGGCCCGGTGAAGGATGGCGCAATCCGCGAATTTTGGTTTAGTCATCCCCTTTACTCGCACACATCTACCGAGAATTGGCCCTTCTCTTTGGTAACATTGGCACGACTCTATTTTGCCGCGAAGAATCGTAAAACAACATCCAGCAAAGGTGGTTGCAGAATAAATTCATCACGTCCACCATAGCCCCTTGGCTATGTGTCAAAGTCGGCATTTGGGAAATTCAAAGATTGGTGTTTTCCCTTTTGTTGTCCTCCAAGCCACAGCGAAAAGAAACGACGGCCTCAAAATACATATGAATTGAAAGCTCTTGGAATCCCTCTCAGGTCACCGGCAAAGTCTCCGCCTCGCGCCCCGGCGGAAGCGCTTTCCTCTCCCCAAAGCTCCGAGAGGCCGAACTGCGGAGCCGGTTTCACGCCGCCGGAAACCTCAGCGAGTGCGGACTTGGGGCGGGCTCGTTTTCAGGTTGGCTTGCCAGAGCAATTTGGTGGAGAAGGAGTGAAGGGAAATCAACAGGAAACCATAATTTTGGCGAGGGCATTCAATTTGGGCGAGAAGACGTTGGAAACTATGTTGGTGGTATTTTTCCCATGGGAGAACGGGGGCGGCGTTGGCATATTTTAGACATCCGCGTGCCCATCTTGACCTTTGGCCTGTCGGCGAAAACGTTTGTTTCTCATTGGGACCCCACTCTTTGGGGTGCGGAACGCAGATTCTCAAGATTCATTGACAAAGAATGACGGTAACCCCAGATTAATCAGTCCAGTTTTTTCATAGGGGTCCCTGGGTTTGGTGGGGATTCATCACTTATGGAGGGGAACACCCCTCTATTCATAGGACGGGTTTGTTCGGGTCAACATGAGAACATTGGAATTGCATCCTTTGAATTTTCCGATGACAGCTCGTGTTCTGTGGCTTTGTTTGGATCGGGGATATTTGCCCTCAAGCCGGCAAGAAGCGCAGAAAAAGCAGGGCATGCCAATGAGAAAGATAAGGCAGAGTTTGATATGACCCGGCGATCCAGGCACCCCCGATTGCATCTGTTCAAAGCAGCATCACAAATTCCTGGTTTCCCATTACATCGGGAACTGCTTTTCCGATCCAATCATTTCAACCCTGGCCCTAGCCGGGGCTTCCGGCGACTTTTGAGCCCTCGCTTGTTTGTGCGGAGGAACGAACCAAAAGTCAGCCATTGCTTGGCAGTTCTCAGCCGTTTGGTTCCTTAAGCTTTTAGGTTTTTAGTTGCTTTAGTTGGGGGGTTCCATGTGGCTTGAGCTTCCTCGGAAATCAACTGGAATGCAGCCTGAGCTGGTAGCTGACAGTTCTCAGAAAAAAAAGCTTGGTGGCTGATTTGACTGCTGGAATTCTGGTCCCTCAAAAACGTGTTTCTTGACTCGGCTTGACTTCAGCGCCCACCAGCGCAGGTAGCTGTATATATAATATGTGAATATATATATATATATTATTACTCCCAATGGCAAGCTAAACTTTTAGCAGGATATCTGAGGATGGTCCAGTTTGGTAAATTTGAGATTTCCGGAAAGTTATGATCAACCAAGCGAGTCTCCTTTGGTGATTCCTTATTTTCAGTTGGATCCAATCATGCACAGTGGTTCAGCCCCCCTGATGTGGCCTGGGCAAAGTGGTTGGAACTGAGCCTTCACCTCAATGTCCAGGTCCGCTGGTCCACCACTAAAAGTCGAAAACGTATCGCAAAAAAACCACACACTAGTTCAAACATCAAAATTGCGCGGCCGTGCCAATGGTCCGAAACCTCCCGAGACCGCCGTTGCCACAAATGATATGCGCACAGTGCTATGTTGTTCGGCCCGCCTCTATTTCCCGCTTTTTCGTTGCAGTTTCACGCCAGTGTATGAAGTATTGCATGATCAAGCGCAAGTGCATGCATTCTTACAGACGAGCTAGCTCAACTAATTCCAGTGAGGAAGCTCCTTCTCAACTTTCTAGTAGGTCTCCGTTGAGTTTCCCCGGGCCCCAACTGGGTAATTATGTGTCAACCCAGACCTTGAACAGCTACGGGGTCTCCTCCATATGCCATAGTTGGGGTCTTCTCCCCCATAGCTGGGGCCCCAGACCTCCTTAAAAGATACATTTTGCCCAGTTGAAACATGGCTTTTTCCACCAAAATAAGGGGAAACCACCATGTACGAGGCAATGTTCATATAATCCAAGGATCCCTGTTAAAAGAAGGGACTCAAAGGACACACCCCAACTCGCAAGCCGAAGCCTGCAGAGGATGCGGAGCTCCTGCCGGGCTTGCGGCTGGTGGTGGCGGAACTGGCCGGCGCCGCGGCACGGGGGCTCGGAGCGGGGAGGTGTCAAAAAGGTGGTTTGGGATTGAACTTGTTTTGTTCCAGTCGATCAAGATTCGACTAAGTTGCCCGGTAGTGCCCTTTTACCAACTTTTTTGGGGGAGGGTTCCCAAATAGACTACAGAAAAAGGGTGCCCTTGTTCTAAACTCTCTACTGGAGGAGCTAGTCAAAGTAGGTGAAGATGGCTGGTGTCCTTTTGGTTTCTTTTTAGGACCCACCCCAAATGGGGTAGCTTCAAGAATCGCACACATACATATGGGGGGAGAAGGGGGGGGGTGGAAGGGATCTTCCCAGACCCTCAGTAGTTTGAGGTGGGGAGTTTAGGGTTGGTGTGGGCTAGCATTGCCTTTCAGGATTCAACTTGTGTTTGGAGAGGTTGTTTCCCTTGACCAACTGCCGAAGGAGGGTGCCCTTGCTTTTTCCAGGGCCATTGGAGGTCTTCCCCCGAACCACCGCCCTCGCTTCTGGTGGGGTCGAAGAAAACTCGGAGGTCCCCTCCAAAATGGCACGCGTGCCTTATCACGAAACCGGAGGTTCATCGATCCCGTCGCTTTTCTCAAAAAGGATGCTGACATTTGGGGTCAAGCACGCATGTTTAGGATCTTCTGTGTGTTACCTATGTTTTTTTCTTCCCCAGTTGCCGGTGATAAATAATAATACGCTTTTGCCAGGGTGATGAGGCAGTTGATGGGCAAGAAGATAGAATATGCTTCCACCTAGTTTGCTATTCCGAGTCTCACCCAATCCCAGAAGCTGTTAAGGGTTAGACCGCATGACAGTGAGGAAGGGAACGGTCTAACTCTCATTCTCCTTCCTCATTCCTTCTCGCAAACAAAGGGGGCGAGAGGATGTGGAGGAAGGAAAAGAAGGTGAAGGGATGCGCCGCTTCCTTCCCACGCGCAGTAAGACCCATCCTAACTCTTCCACACCATTCAATTTCAGATTCAGATGGGTGTGGAAAGGATATGAAAGTGAGTTATGGATGGGTCGCCCGATGCACATGGAACTTAAGGCTCTCATCTGTTCTTTTGGGTTCGAGCTTCGGAAACATCCAAGGTTGACATGTCCACGAAAGCTTTGGACTTGTCATGTTGTTGGTCATAGGCATATAGCCCACCCAGGAGTTGTGCTCTTGTCATTTTGAGTACCACCCGAAGGAAGCAGAGCCGGAGCACTGATGCAACGCACTTGCGTGCTTGTCAGATCAAGTAAACGCAGCTGTTTGTTGTTTGATACTTACAGTTGATGTATAAATGCAGTGTATCCAGTGGAACATAAATAGAGGTGTGGTTGTGTAGAAATGCAGTATATAAGTACAGTTGATGAATACATGTACAGATATGTGTATGACTATTTGTTGCTACCTTGTATTGACATAGCACATTAGATCTTGATGCGCAGTAGGTGGACTCGCAGGTTGGGTGTATTTGTGCCCCATCCACGCGGCTGAACGGACGGCGATGTCACCCGCGCGCGGATCGAGTGGCTTCACATGAAGTGATGGAAGACGGCACCATGCGCAATGTCTGACATTGTTCGAGATTATTCATTGATAGCTTTTTGTTAGTGTCCAATGTTCCAATGTGACAAGATGTCTGTTTCGCGGAGTATTTCGTAGGACCGTCATGTCAAATGCTTGCTTCGCGGAGCTCAAGAAGCTCAATAATCAGCTTGCAAGACGAGGCCATGGTTGACTGTTGTCAGCTCGAAGCATGCCGAGGAGGCAGCAGTTTCTTATTGGCACCTTTTGCATGTTCTCGACTCCAATGAGAAAAACATGCCCCACCCCCCAGTCACCACATGCCAGCTTTGAAGGCGATACTTGCGTTCCATTGGTGGCCAAACTCCGCCGGAGAAAAGTGGTGCCGCCCCCGGCGTCCATTTCTCGGGCGCCATGGCGGCGGTTTTCTGGGCGCTGCTGCCCCTAGCAGCGGCGAAGCAGATCCTGGTGACAGGCGCGGTCAGATGCCCCGCTGTGTGCCCTTTGTGGGGACTGCCCCATGGGTTCTGAGCAGAGGTGTCCTTTTTAGTTTGATTAAACATAGATGGCACTGGTTTAGGTGGGGTTGCTTCCATCTACTAGGGCCATCTATTTTTCCAAAAGGCCACCTACGGTTCTGAGCCTTTTGCCTGTTGATCTGTTTTAAAGCGATGGGACATGCGACGAAACCCAGACCCAAGAGGAATTGTTCAACAGGCGGGTGCCGAGTATTAGGCGAGCTTTCTTGCCTTTCGGCACAGAAAAGGTGTCGGAGCTTGGCCGAATAGACATAAAACCATGCCAGCACCCTCCGACTACTGCCCAAACGGCAGTAGATAGAAACTTCCCAAAAACGACCGTAGTTGGAAAAACTACTGTCAATTATTTTATTTGCGGGATGCCCATAGTCTAACTACTGCTAGCTACTGTTTACAACGGGGAGATGCCATAGCAGGGGTGGTAGCAATCAAGGGGTGGCAGCGTGTCACCCCGTGTCACCCTGTGTCACCTGCGTGTCACTTGCGCGTCACCCCGTGTCGCCCCCGTGTCGCCCCCGTGTCACCCCGTATCGCCCCCGTGTCGCCCCCGTGTCGCCCCCCCCAGAACGACAGTAGATCGCTGTGAACTACTGTCGTTTAAGAGTGTCACCCCGTGTCGCCCCCGTGTCGCCCCCGTGTCGCCCCGTGTCGCCCCCGTGTCACCCCGTGTCGCCCCCGTGTCACCCCGTGTCACGCCGTGTCGCCTGCGTGTCACCCCCTATCGCCTGCGTGTCACCCCGTGTCACCGTGTCACCCCGTGGTCTTGTTTTTCACTGTTTGGGGCAACATAAAACGACCGTAGATCGCGGATCTACTGTCGTTTATGTTATTTTCGGAACTACTGCCAAATACCCGGTAGTTCCGAAAATAAAATTTAGACGGTAGTCGGAGGGTGCTGGTGGGGATGTCCATTGGTGAGCCGTGCCACTAAAAAGATGGTACTTCCCACGAAATGGGAAACGTTTCCCACGGTCATTTGGGGATCACTCCCGTCTAGACCGATTTTCTAAAATGCACGAGGTCGACCACACACGAGGTGCATTTGTTGATCTAGGTTTGTGCTCTTTGATTTGTTCATGGCTCATACATTTTAGACAGAATGCCTTTTTCCTGGCTTAGGAGGTTGCTCACGCAGCTTTAGCCGGGTTTTGTAGGTGTTTCGCCCCGCGCATGTTAGCCAGGTACGTTTTGCAGCCAAAACAAGCCCAGAATCCGGGGGGCGGCCCACTGATTCCAAGAGGAGTAGAAACCACCGTGCCGGAACCAGAGCCAACTTGAGCCAAACGGCATCCTAGTATACGGGATATACGGATTCTGCATTTTGATTTCCAACCTCCGAAGTTGGTGCTTTGCATTTTTAGCAACTAAGCTGCTTTTCTACAATGCAGCGATTGGCCTTCAGAGCTTTTCTTGTGGAGGTTGGTATGTTGCATTTAAACAGTTCTGACAACAATCCTGAGGTTGGCTCTGCATTTTAAAGAAAATTTTGCGGTTGGCACATGCATTTTAGCGGCTAGCATGCACGGCCAACACCAAGATACAGTACAGACGGGTGTCCAACACTGGGTGACCAACACCATTGGTGAAAACCACGAAAAAGATGAAATGTTCCACTAATGGCACAAGTTACCCGTGGTCATTTGGGGATCAACCCCCTTCTTCCAGGGCTCCATCTTGGATAAGTTTGACTGTCACGATCGATTCGAAGGCGGCCTGATGCGGAGCCACCACCTGGCCGTGGTGCCGGTGCCTCGATTCGTTTTATGCGGATGGGGGAGGGGGGGGATCGCCGACTCGGGTGGGTGCTTAGGTGTCGTTTGGAGTTGGGAATATGACACTTTTCAGATTGTTTTTTTTTGGGGGGGGGTGGGGTCAGACAACCGCAAACATGGTCCGAGATCCGTTTTAAAGGGCTCCGAACCTCCCACTTTTTGTTCACATGTTTTTCCCCGGGTGGTGTTTTCGACTTCAAGGCAAGGCTCTCGATGGCTTTCTGCTCGGTGCCTAACCACAACCATTGGCGTTGGAAAGGATTACGACATACTACCAAAGATGGCACGCGCAAAATTGGGGGTCCATTTCACAACAGATTCCGATCCCAGCAACAATTGGGCAGGTTTTCATGGGTTCCATGTTAACCTGGGGCGGGCTGTAGGGGGAGTATCCTTATGCCTCTGCCTCTATGACATATCCGACTTTTTTTAACAGTCCAACCGCTATCTGTCTGAGAAGTGGCCAGGGCTTCGCTGCTTATCTGAAAGGTTGAGGCCAAGTTGGCATGGAAGTCGTGGCTGGGAAACAAAGCGCTAAAGGTTGACCCCATATTCACCAACCCCACTTTATTCATAGGGGGCCCCCAAGCCTCTCCAAAAGTGGTCTGATTCCACCCACATCTCACCCAGGGAGAAGCACCCCTCTATGAAGATGAACTGGGGTTGCTGAAAATTACGGGGTCAACATTCGGCCAGTCCACTCAGGGAGCGAGTACCTGGACTCATGGTTATCTCTGAGAGGTGCTCACCAGACAGTGGACCAAACGGCTCGCTTGTCGGTCCCGAGCCACATGGCCATAGCGTTTTGGTGTGGAATCGTCATTTTTTGAGGCCAGAAGGAATATTGTCACTTCGTTCTTTTCTTTACTCCTTTTTTTGGGGAGGGGGGGTATTGCCATACCCAACCGGCGAAGGCGAGAAACGCATGCCAGGCACCAGCTGACGTATCAAGGAATTTATGGGGCCCTCCCCATGCAGGCAGTAAGCCCATCAGTATCCATCGGCAGCTTCCAACAGACAGATCATTTGAGGATGGTTACACCAAATTTCCTCAGGCTGCATTGTGAGTTTGTGGATTCAGAATCGATTTGATCTTGCAAGCAGATGCTAGGGGCTGCTCCGTGGTTTGGTTGTTCTGTTTTGCTATTTCTGGCTTCAAATGGAATTGCCAGAGAAGGTGGCTCCATTTCTTCCCTTCGGAAGACTCTATTTGAGAACCCCCCCCGCCTGTTTTGCCTTCCCCTTTTGGTACAGGCTTCGTTTTGTCCCCCTTTGCCAGTGAAACAGTTTGTTTCTGCGGTCAGAGCTCACCGGGACTCCCAAGGTGGTGGAGGGGCTGCTGGCGCGCGGGCACAACGTCACCTTCGTGCTGCCCAACAGCAGCGAAGCGCGCGGCTGGTTCCCCAAAGGCGCGCGGCTCGGAACTTGATTCACAATCAGTCAGAGCACCTCGTTGGGCGTGTTTGCTTTTTGTTTTTGAGGGTACCCACTCAGTCAAAGCACTTGATTGGGGCCAAATGCGGATGGTTCATCATCACTCCTTCTGTTGTTTGTTTGTGCGTGGGTGTGATGGCATATGATGAGGGCTCCTTTTGCGAAAGCAAGGGGACCGTGAAGGTCCAACCCACACAAAGATGTTTAAACCATATATCTCCCGCCAACATGTAAGGGAACCACGAATGCCAATCCCCACACAGAAGTGAGTCGCGAGACATGGATCTCCGGGCTTGAGCAATCTTTTTACTTCTCCGAGAGTCGGCGCCACTCTGCTATAAAACTGGGCAAGCCGGTTGTATTTTGAGGGGCTATCAAAATTGCCTTCAGGGTTGTTGCGGTCTTTCCCTTGAACCCATTCCGAGGGTTAGGCTGTCACACCACGCAAAACCCTCAAGCTGAAAATCCCAAGTCAGTGCTCATTGGAAGGAGTCTGCCGCAGGTGCATGTTGTGATATGTGGTTTGTCTCAAAATTAAGGACTCCGCCGGTGCTTTTCAAGGGATTCTCGCAGTATCACAGAAGACCTACGACATGCCACCGTGCAAGCAAAAGCCGTCTAGTGCCAGCGGCACAAACAAGATAGAAACTGGCTTAGATGTATGATGTATTTTCGTGGGTATGAAGCTTAACCTTCGGATGGTCATAATATGACCATCCGAAGGTTAAGCTTCATACCCACGAAAATACATCATACATCTAAGCCAGGGAGGCTTACCTAAAAGTGACTGACAGATACTCGACTCGTGACGAAGAAGAGGCTAGGGCCCTAGGATTTTTTGGCCCGAACCTTTTCCGCACAACAGACATTGTCCACAAAGCAACGGAACCTTTTCTACCTCCCAAACACACCACCCACAAAAAACAAAAAGCATGGTCGATTTTCGTCTTTCCCAAAGGGAGGGCGTGGTTGGGGACCTGGTCACGGGACCCTGCCTTTTGGCCCTTGCGAGGCCTGGGGAAGGCCAAGTTGGTGCACCTGGGCCCGGAAGACGCCAGCTTCGCCTCGTTTCATATGCCGGACATGAAGAACCTCCCGGTGCACCGGAGGACGGGAGACGTCGGAAATCGGAGGTCAAGGGAGGTTGCTAAAGAAAACCGCCGTGTTTGATTCTGAAAGAACAGAAAGGTATGTTCAGGTGACACTTCATTGGTGATTGGCGGATTTGGATTTGAACGCCTGGTTCTTGTGGGTAAATGGAAAAACCACGGGTCACCGACCTTGACCGCCGGGTTCCAAACCACCCTTTTCGCGGGAAGCTGAAGGCAGGGAGTCCACAAACGAACACGTCAATGGCGCTAAAGCGCCATCTTAGTCGATGCCGGCCATCGACTAAGCTGCTAAACCCAGCTCCAGGCGCAAGTGTGGCTCTTGCAAAGAGAAGCCCGGAATTTCACCAGTATTCTGTGGTGTACATCAGAATCACAAAGGGTACGCGCGCCCACTTCTATGTTACAGGGGTTACTCACACAAGAGACAACGCAATGAGTATTGACCCTGGCCCGAATGGACATGTGTGTGCATTACTTTCAACCAGCTGCGTCCGGGTGTTGGCCTTCGGGCCTGTCGTATGTGACCTGCTCAGACGACTTTACTTGGGATTGCTAGGGATGCTGATCCCACTATGATCCACTTGAGGAGAGGCACCCATAGTGCTTGTGTTTTTCCCGAAAGCATGGCGAAGGGTTCTTCCGTTGGATTCATGGGAGTTATCAGCATGAGAGTCATTGCAAAGAGTTATCAACCATCATCAGAGTCATTGCACAGAGTCATCATCATCATGAGAGTCATTGCAAAGCGTTATCATCATCAGAGTCATTGCACAGAGTCATCATCGTCATGAGAGTCATTGCACAAAGTAATCATCATCATGAGTCATTGCACTGCACAGAGTCATAGCAGAGAGTCACTTGCGAGGAGCAATGCTCGTGAGAGCCACTGGCGAGGAGCAATGCTCATGAGAGTCACTGGCAAGGAGCAATGCTCATGAGAGTTCTCACTCATGACGAGTTTTAAATTCCTTTCTTCTCTTCTTACGGCGGCGGGGTAGGGCCGACAGCACTCTACGAAAATCAACTCTGCGGAGATTCGTGTGGTCGAGGTCAAACAACTGAGGAATTTTTACGATTTCTGATCTGTGCGAGCGACCCTCTGCGGAGATTCGTGCGGTCGAGGTCAGAAAACTGAGGTTTGACATTCCAGGATGAACCCTCTGCGGGGATCGGCGTGGTCGATGTGCAAAACCTGAGGGGTTTTTTCGATTCTGAATATGCTCGCGCGACCCTCTGCGAGGATCGTGCGTGTCGAAGCGCTCTCGCTGTGGCGCCGTGCGAACTTGTTGCTTGCGAACTGGTCTTTGGAAGTTGTCGCGTGGTTTGCGCGCCTGCTCTCGGAGTCGCGCGGTCGCGGGCTCGATCCCGCCTGGTCAGCGGCAGCTTTTCTAGACAGAAAACGCAACTTTAAGTGCAAACGTAGTACGCGGAGCTCCGGCTGGAAAATCGCAACTTTTAAGTACTACTGTAGTACGCAGAGTACAGTCCTGCAGCTCCGGCTGCAGAATGGAACTTTTCAATCAGAAAACTAGTGTGCGAAGTGCTTCCCGAAAGCTCCGGCAGCACTTGCGCAGAGCAACTTTCACAGAGCGCTGCCGCTTGCGCAGAGCAACCTGCGCAAAGCAAATTGCACAGAGCACTTGCGCATAATAACAGCCAGCGCAGGGCAAGTTGGGCAGACCAAAAGTCAGGTGTTCCGTTGGGAGAATTATTATCATGAAAGTCATGGCGCAGAGTCATCATGACAGCCGTTGCACAGAAGAATCATGAGAGTCATTGCACAGAGTCATCACAGCCATTGCATAGAGTCATCACACCAGAGTCATTGCACAGAGTCATCATGACAGCCATTGCATAGAGTCATTACGCACAAGTCATTCAACGGAGTCATAGAGTCATCATGAGAGCCCTTGCACAGAATCATCATGAGAGTCACTGCACAGAGTCATCATGAGAGTCATTGCGCAGAATCATCATGAGAGTCATTGCACAGAGTCATCATGACAGCCATTGCGTAGAGTCATCACACAAGAGTCATTGCACAGAGTCATCACACAAGAGTCATTGAACGGAGTCATCACGAGCGTCATTGCACAGAGTCATCGTGAGAGTCATTGCGCAGAACCATCAGAGTCATTGCACAGAATCATCATGAGGGTCATGGCGCAGAGTCATCATGAGAGTCATTTGCGTTGTAGTCACTGTTTTGCTCGAGGGCGGTATATGTGTCATCTTTAACGTGCTTTGCAAACTCGTGTGAGGGGGGGGGTCCGGTAGGTGGCAAGATAGCAAGAACAAGGTTACTTGCTGTGTATTGCCCGTGACCACATCGAGCAAAGAACTTGCGCTGGAATGATCGCCGGGCTGTGACGCTTTCGGGCCAACCGTGGTCTAGTTTTGGACGCATCATCTTTCTCTCAGGTGGAAAGACCAAAACATGTGACGGACTCTTTCGCCTCGCAATTTGTGAACATCGCCCGTTAGACCGCAGCCTGTTGTTGGCCAAAGCGGTGAAGCTCGGCCAACGGACCAAATGGGTGTCTGAAAATAGGGGACACAACAAAATGGTTGGATCCTTTTTCGTGTTTTTTTGGACCAATCCAAAAAAGGGCATTTTTCAAAAGAAGACAGACCCAAAATAGTTCGACCTTTGGCCGATGTAAGGATTCTACCTGGTGTAGGGACTTCGTTCAGTTGTGCTTCGCGCAAACCTGCACTCATTCTGGTGGCGAAGGAGTACACGCATTCGATTGATGCCATGTGCTGTGAGGGCCCTTGCTGAATGTTCGGAATGTTCGGAATGTGTGGTGTGTGTGTGTGTGTCTCGCCGTGTCTGTGTCTGGTGTCGGTGTCTGATGTCTGATGTCTGTGTCTGTGTCTCTGTCTGCGTCTGTGTCTGTGTTTGTGTCTGTGTCTGTGTGTGTATGTGTCTGTGTCTGTATTTGTGCCTGTGTCTGTGTCTTTGTCTGTGTCTGTGGCTGTGTCTGTGTCTGTGTCTGCGCCTGTGTCTGTGTCTGTGTCTGTGTCTGGTGTCTTTGTCTTTGTCTGTGTCTGTGTCTGTGTTTGTGACAGTGTCTGTGTTTGTGTCTGTGTGTGTCTGTGTCTGTGTCTGTGTTTGTGTCAGTGTCTGTGTCTGTGTCTGTGTTTGTGTCTGTGTCTGTGTCTGTGTCTGTGTCTGTGTCTGGTGTGTGTGTGTGTGTGTGTGTCTGTGTCTGTTTCTGTGTCTGTGTCTGTGTTTGTGTCTGCGTCTGTGTCTGCGTCTGTGTCTGTGTCTGTGTCTGTGGCTGTGTCGGTGGCTGTGTCTGTGTCTGTGTCTGGTGTCTGGTGTCTGGTGTCTGTGTCTGTGTCTCTGTTTGTGTCTGTGTCTGTGGCTGTGTCTGTGTCTGTGTCTGTGGCTGTGTCTGTGTCTGTGTCTGTGTCTGTGTCTGGTGTCGGTGTCTGTGTCTGTGTCTGTGTCTGGTGTCTGTGAGTGGACCGTGAATCCTTCCCGCACATGACTTGATCGAAGTGTTCGGGGAAAGCTGGAAGGATCCTGGCCTGGGCGGATATATTTTGGAACTACCAGCGTCTCATTGAGAAGCCGATCTTTGGCATGGTGAAGGCGAGATCTTCTGGGCGGGTCCTTTTTCCGCAACAGCCGAAAGCTTTGGGGCCTCAGCCCAGATAGGCTACGGGGTGGTCCGGGGCGGCCCCCAATTTAAGGTTCCACAAGGGTTCCACGAGGGTTCCACCAGGGTTCCACCAGGGTTCCACAAGGTTCTGCGAGGGCTGCGGGGGTGGAGCACTAAAAAGAGCACTGCATGCTGTTGGGGATATCACCTGAGCTCATTAGGGACCCCCAAAATGGTAGTTTTCCAATTGAATTCCCTTAAGCACCACAAAAGAAGGGGTACCCTCCCAAACCGACGCAGCCTTCTTTGCACGGCTGAAAGCAATGGGGTCTCTGTCCTATGCTCGGCGGAGATGGTTTCTGGGTTGATTGGCTGATTGGTTGAGGCCCTTTGGACTGGCTTCCACCTCAGGGATTGTTTCACCTCAGGGATTCCCTGTATCTTTTTTGGGGGTATGAAAAGACACCATGTTTGGCGGAGTGCGGAGAGGTTGGCGTTTTTCAGGTCATATGTCATAACTCCTATGTGAGTCCTAAGGATGGAATGGTGAGGCAGTTGATCTCAGAGTTAACAGTTCCTATCAGTCCCTTCCTGTTCTCTTCTTTGGGACATCTGGATACATCTTCCTTGTCCTTCGTTCATCTCATGGTCAATTGCCTGTGATTAGAGGACTTCCTGTGTCTTAGAGATAATGGGAAGGGTTAATCCTATAGACAGCTCTTGGACATCAAGTTCTTTCCAGCGGCTACAAATGAGACCAGATAATGCGAGGCAAGTGACGGAGGGAACGGTCACAGTCTTCTACCCCTCCCAAATGCTTTTCTTTCCCCTTGTTTTGGATTTCTTGTCAGTCAATTCTCTTATGGTTATTCTTCATCCAATGACAGGCAAGGAATGGGATGAGGTGAGGACATGAAACTCACCCATTCACCCACTTCTTCCTTCCCTTTCTCACCTCTTCACATCCTCGTGGGAGCAGAAAGCCGACGGACCTGGAAGCTGACGAGCTTCCCGCAGCTCACCGTCCAAAAGCTTTTCCCGTGTTTCGATGTCATAAATCCGACCCGGCAAGGGCAACGGTTATTTTCTTCAGTGCCAATCTCTTCAAGATCGAGGGTTTACTTGAGGCACGGTCTTGCAATGTCTAAGCCTGGCAAACAGACCAGTCCTGAATCCCAGAAAATATGTGTGCGTGTGCCCGTGCGTGCGTGCGTGCGTGCGTGTGTGTGAAGTTTTTGACGACCACAACGGGGCTTCTTCGGCAGTTTTCTCCCTTTGCTTTTTCTTCCGACGCTGGATTGGCGTACATGCTTTGCAGTGTTTTGGGATTGGGGTCCTGGTTTGTTTGGCTGCGTGTATTTGCCTGTGTGTTTGCTTGATTGCTTGTTTGCTTGTTTACTTGTTTGCTTGTTTGCTTGTTTGCTTGTTTGTTTGTTTGCTTGTTTGCTTGTTTGCTTGTTTGTTTGTTTGCTTGTTTGCTTGTTTGCTTGTTTGTTTGTTTGTTTATTTGTTTGTTTGTTTGTTTGCGTGCTTGCTTGCTTGCTTGCTTGCTTGCTTGCTTGCTTGCTTGCTTGCTTGCTTGCTTGCTTGCTTGCTTGCTTGCTTGCTTGCTTGCTTGCTTGCTTGCTTGTTTGTGTGTTTATTTGTTTGTTTGCTTTTATGTGTTGTTTTGTGTTGTTTTGTGTTGTGTTGTTTTGTTTTGTATTTTGTTTGTTTTGTTTGTTTTGCGGTTTGCTTGTTGAACGTTTGTATGTGGGTGTGTGGGTGTGCTTTTGTTGTTTGCCTCTGTGTGTGTGTGGGTTTTTGTTTGCTTGCTTGTTTGTTTGCTTGCTTGCTCGCTCGCTCGCTCGCTTGCTTGCTTGCTTTTTTCTCCTCCGTCAGTTTGCTTGTTTGTCTGTGTGTGCGCGTACGCATGTGTGAGGGTAGGGTGTGTGGGTGTGTTTGTGTGTGTGACTGGATTTGCTGGTGTGTGTGTGTTTTTGTTCTGTGTGTGTGAGTGAATATGAAGCTTTAATCGAATCAACATGTCATGAGTCAAATCACGTAAAAAGCCAACGGCGGCAGTGGTCATATATATATTATGGAGTGGCACCAGTGCCGGGTCGAAATGACTTGCCCATCACAAATACTTTGTTTTGGCCAAAGGCGTGTATACATTCATGATATGCATGCACATGGTATATATGCATCAATTTACTGTTGTGATGATGATGATGATTATGACGATGATGATGATGATGATAATGATGTTGATGATGTTGATGATGATGAGGACAAGGAGCCTGTTCGATAAGCTAGCAGCTAGCAGCTGGGACATTCGAACACACGCAACCACCAACACACATATATATATATATATCTAGATAGCCTGAATGTGCACTCAGAGAGAACGCAGCTCCTTCAACTTTGCCGTGCCCTGCGCCCAGCAAGGTGCAACGTGTTTTTTGTTGTTTGCTTTTGCGAAGCAATGGCAAGCAAGCAGCTGGGCGGAAAGGTATGAAGGATGTGTCCGGGTCTTGGATGTTTTGGTGGCAAATGTGCAGATTCGGTTGGTACCTTCAATTAGGTCACTTGCACTCACATGTTTCGCGGCAACGCGATTCTGGCTGAAGGCAATGCGAGCTGAATCAATGCCTGCGACTCCAGCCCATCCAAGGGTCAATTGTTTGAGGCCCCCCCCACCCCCCCTGCGCAGCGTTTCTGCCATTCGATGCGGCCAGGACTTCTCGGCTTTTCTGCAGCAGCACAGCTTCGACGCGGTCTTCTCCTCCGCCTTGTCCATCGGCTGCAACCAGGCCTGTTTTATATGAGAAACAACACATGCATTTGGGTGCTTCTCAAAGGGCGCGCAAGACACAAATGCATGTTTTCTCAGGTTTCAAGCCTTGAAGCATCAACCAAACAGGGGTTCACCATTAAAACCACCCGTCTTTGGGGGCAAGCGACTCCAGCGATCCAGAGGTAGAACAAGCGCACTATGATGGTCGTTTACTGTGGGATTCCGGATTTCAAGTTGTGGACAGACTGTACAAATACGCCATTTGCGATCGCCAAGAACGGCCGGATTGCTCTGAAGGTGATTCTTCAAAAGAGAGGATCTTTCGACAGCATGCTTTCCTTAGTGCTTCCTTGAAACATGCGAAATGTTAGTCATGGCAGGATATGGCAGGTCAGGAGAGTCCTCTGATCCAAATCCCCGAAGGACCTGAACATGTTTCCCGAAATTACTTTGAGACAGAAGGGGGCAAACTCAGTTTCGATGAGACCCTTTGAAGGGACACCAAATGGAGGTTGTTTTGCAAATGTGCCAAAACCAGACCCTCCCACATGGTTGCTTTCGCGTCGGGCCCGTTGAGCATGTTTTGTCTCCACAAAACAAGCGGGTTTCATACAGCTTACCTTGGCATGGTACTCCACGATCGTTTTGTGGCTTTTTGGTCTCCGACTTTTGAAGGTCCAAGCCTCCGTTCAAACGACTTTGCCTGCGTTTGAGGCCGCCAACGGGTGGGGTCGGTCGCCTTCTTTTGCGCTGTCCCTTTCTGAAGGAGTCAAACAATCATGTCGTTTTGTTGGGGGCTTCTAAATTCCCAGGTGTATGGGTTCTGGTCTTACATTTCGGGAACGCCCAAGATAGTCGGTCTCCTTTTGGTTTAAATCTAAAACCAAGCAAGCGGGGGTCCTTTTAGTATTCCTTTAGAATTACACCAGCATAGACCCCAGATAGCACACCACGGATACGAACCATGACGCAGCATTATCATGATGATGTAGACCATGATGACACCACAGCCACGGAACAAACGCGCAGACAACGTCCTAATGAGATCAGCAGCATAATGATGATTTTGAGAGCAATCCGGCAGGAAAAGGCAAAAACGAGGTCCTGATGAGTTCGACAGCATCATGATGATGCGGACAGCATCATGATGATGCGGACAGCATCATGGTGATGCGAACAGCATCATGCTGATGGTAAAGGCAGCATCATGATGATACCACAGCCACGAACCATCTTGCGACAGCTTAATGAAATTCTGCATCATCCTGACGTTGACAGCATCACGGCGCCACTACACCCACACACCACAACGTGGGAACATCATGACGATACACCAGCCACGAACCGTTACACGTGAACAGTATCCACCAGCACCCCAAACATGCCCCCTAGCACCCGGTACAACCAAAGCAGCATCCACCCGCGCCTCAAACTGCATGCCCCTTAGCACCCGGCCGTCAAGCTCGCAAAGCAGCATCCACCAGCACCCCAAACTGCATGCCCCCTAGATCCGGCCGTCAAGCTCGCAAAACAGCATCCACCAGTACCCCAAACTGCATGCCCCATAGCACCCGGCCAGCTCGCAAAACAGCATCCACCAGCAGCCCAAACTGCATGCCCCCTCGCACCCGGCCGTCAAGCTCGCAAAACAGCATCCACCAGCACCTCAAACTGCATGCCCCCGAGCACCCGGCTGTCAAGCTCGCAAAGCAGCATCCACCAGCACCCCAAACTGAATGCCCCCAGCACCCAGCCGTCAAGCTCGCAAAACAGCATCCACCAGCACCCGAAACTGCATGCCCCCGAGCACCCGGCCGTCAAGCTCGCCGGCCAGCTCGCAAACCACCAGCCGCCCACCCGCCCGTCAAGCTCGCAAAGCAGCATCTACCAGCACCCCAAACTGCATGCCCCGTAGCACCCGCAAAGCAGCACCCACCAGCACCCACCAGCACCCCCAACTGCGTAGCACCCGGCCGTCAAGCTTGCAAAACAGCATCCACCAGCACCCCAAACTGCATACCCCCTAGCACCCGGCCGTCAAGCTCGCAAAGCAGCACCTACCAGCACCCCAAACTGCATGCCCCCTAGCACCCAGCCGTCAAGCTCGCAAAGCAGCACCCACCAGCACCCCAAACTGCATGCCCCCTAGCACCCGGCCGTCAAGCTCGCAAAGCAGCATCCACCAGCACCCCACACTGCATGCCCCCTAGCACCCGGCCGTCAAGCTCGCAAAGCAGCACCCACCAGCACCCCAAACTGCATGCCCCCTAGCACCCGGCCGTCGCAAAGCAGCACCCACCAGCCGCATGCCCCCTAGCACCCGGCCGTCAAGCTCGCAAAGCAGCACCCACCAGCACCCCAAACTGCATGCCCCCTCGCACCCGGCCGTCAAGCTCGCAAAACAGCATCCACCAGCACCTCAAACTGCATGCCCCCGAGCACCCGGCTGTCAAGCTCGCAAAGCAGCATCCACCAGCACCTCAAACTGCCTGCCCCCCAGCACCCGGCCGTCAAGCTCGCAAAGCAGCATCCACCAGCACCTCAAACTGCATGCCCCCTAGCACCCGGCCCTCAAGCTCGCAAAGCAGCATCCACCAGCACCTCCAACTGCATGCCCCCTAGCACCCGGCCGTCAAGCTCGCAAAGCAGCATCCACCAGCACCTCAAACTGCATGCCCCCTAGCACCCGGCCCTCAATCTCGCAAATCACTTTCCCCTCTTTATTAGAAGTTAGAACCCCTATAGCTTTCAGCTATCTGGGGAACAAATCACAAGTCGACTCCCAAAGACACGCCAGTCGCAGGTGCTGATGTTGAAGAACCAGACTGTTCCTTGGGTTAGCTTCATGAGCGCGCCTCTCTACCCGGAGTTCGTCTTGAAGGATCGGTTCGTGAAGTTGGACGAGTTTGGTATGTGCCCCCTCAAAGTGCCACCATTCTTGTTTGGCTTTCCTTTGAGGCACTGGCAAAGGGGGCGACCCCTTTTGAGTCATCGAGTTGAACGTCGTGAGGTCCTTTTTCAGTTTGGCCGAAAGGAACACCACAACTAGCGTCCCTATTCTGACACACCCGAGTGGCCGCGTCTCAAATCCAAACGTGGCTGTCGCGTGAAAAGGGTACGACTTGAAAGGGCGCCAAACAATGAAAGCGCCGAGAATTTGGGAGCTGAAGGCTTCACAAGATAATGATTCTAGAAGCTGGCACTGCCCTCCCGGGCAAAGGCGCAGGCCGCATAGGGTCCATGTCAACGTGTTGAACATAGATGCTGGCTTCAGCTTGGTTCTTGTCATTTGTCAGCGCCACTTACTTGTTATTCCAAGCAGTCGTTACGTCTTTACTGTTTCTTCCCGGAGAGATTGAGAGATTGAGGCTATGAATTTCAAGAGTCGGAACCACCTGAAAAGTGGTTCGTGGACGTTTTCACCCCTAAAACCGGTGAATGCCCCAGGCTTTTGCTCCTGAAGATTCACCGGATCCAGACTGACACCTCCGATTGGCCAAGACACCTTTGCCTTCTTGTGTAGATATTCCCGTGTCGAAATGATGGCTTTGCCCATGTTTTCCCAGACCCCAAAAGAGGTGCGACCTATAAGACATTTGTTTTCCCAGCAAAGCGCTTGAGTCGGCAGTCCTTTTTGGATGTGAGCTCTACGCATCAGCGAGAAGATCTCAGGCTTCGATTTGTTTCCTGCCAGTGGTTGACTTGAACGGGGTTCTTGGGGAAAACACCCCGGGGCAGGGGCAGAACTCAAAGGAAGCCTGGTCATTTGAATCACATGTTTCAAGGGCGTCTTGTTTTCGTAGGCGGTGCTGTAGTTTATTGTATCAGCCTCCTGTTCCTTACGATTGCAATGGTTTCAACGCGCGTGATTCTACTTGGTGTTTTTGTGTGGGTATGTGTCAAAATAGGAATTTGGACCCCCAAATGGCGGTGTCCTTTTGATTCCACTTTGAACCAAGCTGACGATACCCCCCAAAGAACAAACACACAGACACACACACACACAGCCTTGCTTTGACGAAACCCGCCTGGATCTCTGCGAGCATTTCCCCAGTTATCTTGTTGAATCTTGCGGAAGGGATCAAAGACCAGTCAGCGTAGGTAACTTGGGATTTGCCTGTGGCAGCAAGTGACTGCAAGTGAAGGCTGGTTCACACGCACGACCCCGTTTAAATGTGATTTTACCGGCATGGACTACCTCCAAGTATCACCAACTTTTGTGTACTCCGGCGAAGAGAACATGGAACCCCCGCCGACAGGGCTTGTTTCCCCAACAGGTGTTCGTGGATTTTCTTTGCGGTGGTTTCAAGGGAAAAAACGAGTTTCGCTCTGGAAGGACACCAACTACCTTTGCAATTACCCGAACCTCTTGAACCCACGAAGCCTGAACGAGCTGAAAGCTTCTCTCCTCCAGCGGGTGCAGAATCGCATCGAGTGCCGGCTCTTGCGGCTTTCTCGCAAGTGCTCGATGTCTTTGTGTCCCCGAAAATTCCTCATTTGACATTTGTGTGCTGAACGCGCGGGATATGTGTTTATCTCACTTTTCCAGTTTGCGGCAGCTGGAAAAGAACAGTTGTATTTTGTTTCCCCTTGTTTCAATTGGTTTTTCAAGGCACCAGTTGGCATGGAGGGTCTGGGATAAGCCTAACTTGTGCATATGTTGTTTTCCTTCATCCACAGCTGCGCTGTGTTGGCAGAAGTAGTTTTGAAGTGTGTTGCGCACTGGGTATTCCTCTGTGACATCTTGTGACATTGCTGCCCATGGCACTTCCCGTTGCCATGCTGTGTATCTTACTTCATGCGTCAAGTTCCGACTAATCAGCCCATACGAATGAGGGGCTTTCACCAAGCAAGTCTCCGGATTCCCACTAAAGAGAGAACACCCTCTCCCCAACAAAATCAGCCAGAGGGCTATGAACCGTCAGCATTCGGCCGCTTGAATGATTGGGCTCCAAGCCTGGAACCGCCGGTAATGCACTCCACTGAGATCGCATGTCCCATTCATGTTACAGGCCCATATAGTCAGTTGTCCAAAGCCGACCTTTTGACCTTTTGGTTTTTCCATTTTGGTCCATTTTTAGTAGAGGTGCCAAAAGGTTAACCTTTTAGTTCTGGGTCCTTTGGGCAACTGAGTTTATAGTCACCTTTCTTTTTGAGAAAGCCATCTAACTGCAGCGACGCCACTGTTTTGTTGGTGTCACCCATGAAGGTTTACTTCAGATTTTCGATCGCCGAATCATTTGGTCGAGGATGTCCCAACAGGTTCCCCTTAATTGGCGGCTGGGATTGGTGGTTTGCGGATTTGAAGCCCTGGTTTCTGTGCATGAGGCTCTCCGAACCAATCCAAACGAGCGAACACTAGGAATGCCTACATCACCTTCGCCGGGCTCACCTTCAACCGCGTGCTGCGGGCCAACAGTTTCCCGCCCTTCCGGCACTTCTCTGAGCTCCTGATGCGCCGCTGCTAAAGGGTTGGTGGAGCTCAAGTGAAGAGGCTTCCTCTTTTTGGAGCCTAAAAAAGTGGCGAATCTTTCCAAGGGGAAACCACCAGCAAACGGCAAGGGCAAATCCAGGGATTTCTGTGGGAAGAGGTTGGTTGGCGGTCCGTGTACCTGAATGGTTTTGTATGTTTGAAGCGTGTTTTGTTGAGACACGTTCTAGGTTGGTCTCTACAGAGGGAAATCAGAAAGAGCGCCCTAGTGTCGATTTTGACACATATTTTATTTTGTTACTTGTTTTTGTGTTTGTTGTTGTTTGCTTGCTTTTTTTTGGGGAGGGGGGTAAGGGAAAGGAAGGTCGGCCAGAGAAAAACGAGAAAAGGGGTGAAAAATCAGGTAAAATGGCAGAAAAGAGGAGGAACAGTGCCCAAATGTTTGGCATTTTGAGTAATTGGAGGTCTGCCGGGGATCCACCCGTAAATCTGAAAGGAGTGAGGGGGCCACGGTGAAAAGACACATTTTTCAGGGAACTTATGTTTTTGGAAGAACCCATTTGATCTTGGCCTTATGCGCGAGAGATGTTCGGCTGCTCAAATGCGATTCTTGATACGGCGAAGGTGAGAGTATTCACCCCGGATTTATTTTCCTGGACTGACAAGGAAGGTGCTTCCCCCCAAACGGCCTGTAAAATTTGGGGTGTAGGAATCTTGGGTGAATGAAGATAGCTCTGTGAGGCGTTGGCCATCAAAAGTGATTTCCTCTATACTTGGCACACCGGTTGCTTTAACCTATCTGAGAGGTCATTCCGAGCTGTAGGGAATGGACATTTTTCGACTCCGGCCGGCAGACTCAGCGCTTGGATCGATTGGGTCCCTTCAAGGTTTGTAGTTTGTGTTGGATATGCATGAGGGATGAACCAATATTATGCATTTTGCTCTGGGCTCGCTTGGCTGTGGGTATATTCCTTGATACCGAATCTTGCATATGATCAGGGGAGGATAGTTGGCTGGTAGGCCCTGACTGAATTGTTCTGCAAGGAAACCCTGCCAATTCCCGGAGTGTGAGGTTGTACTTGTACTACAATTTGGCAATGCCGATCACCAGAGTCTCAGGCATAGCTTCAACCCCCCGATCGGGATTTGCGCCCTTCGTGTAGATGTCCTTTGTTGGGGGGGCTCGACGAACTTCTCGTACCAAGGGAATCGATCAAAGGATGCCACCCGCAGGAATTTCGCGCGCATGCAAAGGATCGACTGAATGGCTGGCCCCACCCCACCCACTCGTGGTCATTTGTCTTGATTTCATGTCTCTACTCTGGGTTTTGCTTCAGATTTGTGACCCAAAAATATTTTTGCTTCCACATGCGTTCCCGAAACTTTCGCCACAAAGGCACCGAGCCCAGAACGGGAAGTCACCCGCCCCTTGGGCGACCCCCGGTTCCCAACTTAAAACAGCGCAAAGGCTCGGTGCCAAGATTTGGGTGTGATTTAAAACCCAGAGGGCCTTTTTTTGGGCATCAACCCCCACTTTTGTTTGGTCCATCCTTGACTCCAGCCATGGGACTCTTCTGTCAACATGGAACCTGCCTGAGGGGTCCTGGCTTGGACGTCTTCCTTGCGGGACCTGGTGGATTCGGGGTGTTGGAGGACACTCTTGGGGGAGGGGGGTCTTGGGACACTCCTTTCAACTTTCTTAAGGCGGTGGAGGACACTCTTCCTTTCTTGTTGCCTCCTTCCTTTCCAACGACAAAGTTGAAAGGAAGCAATCTGCTTTGTCCGCCCGTGGCCGAACCCTCGCTGGAGCTGAGGGCTGGCCCGGTGACTGTAGCCCTCGGGGGACCGCCGGTGTCGCCGGCGTTGCAGCTGCCACCGAAGGCGAGCCGAAGCCGCCGAAGAAGCCGCGTTGGTGCGAAGCCAATCTTGGCCATCCACAGTCGAGCTGGATTCTCGAGCTTGATCACTCAGCTTGCTTTTTAGGAGAAGGACTGAGTGTGAGCTGTGGTTTTGTCGGAAACCTGTGTGTTTCCCCAAGCCGAACGTTGTTTGTTCCTCGCTGGCTTGCTCGTCTCTGGTTTTGATATCTCTACCATGGCCCCTCGAAATCAGAAGGCGCCGTTTGATGTGTGTGTGTGTGTGTGTCTGTGTGTCTGTGTGTGTGTGTGTGTGTCCGGTTTTCCTTTGGTTTCCCAAACC